ACCCCCACTGTTCTGGGTCTCCCCCTCCCAGGGGAACCCCCACCCACTATCCCCACCTTGCCTCAGTCTTCGGCTACTGCCAGTCACCAACTAGCCCCGCTCCCTGGGGCAGACTGCAGGATAAGCTCCTCATCACAGGCGAGGGAGTTTGGACCTGCTGCCCCTGCAACCCCCGTACCTAATAGGCCGTCCTGGGCCCGAGCTCCCTTGGCCTTCCCCAGGCCTGCTCCCAATCTGGGCACTTTCTCAGCCCTTGCAGCCAGGTCACTGTCTCACCAAGCTAGAGAGAGACTCTACTGGAACTTCTGGCTCAAAGCCTTTCTAGAGCCAGCTGGGCCCTGACTGGGGCGTGGACCCCAGCTGCTGCCACTCCCCCCATCAGCCGGGTGCTCCCTTCCCCTGCCCCAGCCGGACTTTTCCAGCCCCTTCAGGGTTGGAGTGGGTGCTTACCCCGCTACAGGTGGGTACCAGGCTTAGCACCCAGCCAGCATTACCCAGCAAGCTCTGCCCTTATCACAGCCTATTGCGCGGGTGAGCGCACCTTGGCGCTGGCGTGGGTCCGCTGCAGTCCCCAGGCCCTGCCCAGGGGACTGCGGCCACACACTGCCCTGGCACGACGTACTCTGCACCTCAGCCGTGCATTCCCCAGCTGCCGTGGGCATTGCTCCCTTGTTTGCAGTACGGGGCTCCCTGGGTGGCTCATTGCTGTGGGGGGCGGTGTATGGGGCAGGGCTGCTGGCTCATTGTTGTGGGGGCAGGGGCTGGTGACTCATTGCTGTGCGGGATGGCATGTGGGTTGGGGCTGGTGGCGCATTGCCGTGGGGTGGCGTGCGGGGCGGGGCTGCTGGGGAGTTCTGCAGGGGGTCGGTGCTAATGCCAGCAACATGTCCTGGCAGTGCCCGCTGCAGCGTCTGGGTAAGTGTGTGTGTGCGCCGGGCGAATGACACGATCCAGTGCCCTCTGTCTTGGGAGAGCCCCATGGACCAGAACCGCAGATGGGTCAGGACATGGGGGCTCCCTCCTGATGGGCAGCTGCCTCATGGTGTCGCCGCAGGCTGGGACAGGGCAGCCGGTACTGGCTGGGGCTCGGTCCCTCCCGGGTCGCCCCAGCCTCTCCCACGGCTCCCCGTGCGGCCTGGCTCTGCCCGCAGCCCTGGTGCCCAGCACTGCCCTCCCTGCTGCGGCCTGGCTCCCAACGTGGCCGTGAGCGAGCTGGGGCGAAGGCCTAGGCTGCCTCGCTCTTCCCCAGCCAGCATCTGCCCACCTGGGGAGCTACTTGGCGTGAGGCCGGTCCCAGGCCTGGGCCGTGGCCCCTCCGCCCTGTGTTGCTGGACCTGGGGGCTCCTCTGGGCGCTGGCTCTGCTGCGCTGCCAGCCCCTGCTCAGTACGACAGGTGCAGGTTTGTGCTCCCTCCAGCGCTCGCCATCCCCTGCCGGGAGCTGGCTGCAGCTCAGCACTGGCCCTGAGGCTGCTTGGCCGCCCGCCCTGGCTGCAGCCTCCTTTCATGGCTCCCCTGGGGTTTCCATGAGCCCAGCAGGGCCCGTGGGATCAGTCACTGTCCTTGTTTCCATGATTATTGTTTATGCAGGAGGATAGTTCCACACCAGGGGACCAGAAATGCCTTATTCAGCTAGGGGCCAAATGCTCTCGTGGCTCGAAACCCGCTGGAAAAGCCTAAGTAACCAGGCAGTGAGTGAGACTACCCCAGAGCGCAACAAACCCTTCTCGCCTGTGACCGAGGTACGGCCAAAGTGGCTAACCCAGGGATGCTGCGCCCCTCTTGGGGGGCTCCAGCAGGCTCTGGCACGTGGAGCTGTCACGGAGTGTGGGGGAGTCCAGGCCCTGCACCCCCCTTCCTGGGATTCACTGAGACTCTCAGCCAGCCAGTAAAACAGAAGGTTTATTGGACAACAGGAACACAGTCCAAAACAGAGCTTGGGGGTACACCCAGGACCCCTCAGTCAAGTCCTTCTGGGGGAGCAGGGAGCTTAGACCCCAGCCCTGGGGTTCCCTGTGTTCCTCCACCCAGCCCCAAATTGAAACTAACCCCCCCCCCCCCCAGCAGGTTCTCTCCTGCAGCCTGTCTTCACATTCCCAGGCAGAGGTGTCACCTCCCCCTCCCCCTCCTGGCTCAGGTTACAGGCTCTCAGGTCTCCCATCCCCAGGGCACATTCCCAGGTCAACACTCCCCCTCCCTGCTGCGTCACATCCTCACATGAGCAAAGGACCCTTTCAGCCTTTGCTTCATCTGGCCCCTGCTGTAGCCGAGGGCCGATAATTGGTAATGATCCACTTGTTTGTTACAGGGTATGAAAAAGGAGTTCCTTATGGAGCCAATTCCTGACCACACCTGTGGTTTAGTTCTGTTACGTCAGCCCACAGCTCAGCCAGCAGTGACATTTCACTGGGCCACTCCACAGGTAACACAATAACTCGGTGTGCTCATGAGCTCATCCCGTTCGGTCGTGTGCTTTGGGCCCGTTCCTCGCCATAACGTGGCCTGTATTCTTCCAGCCCTCCTCGCTGGGCTCCAGGGGCTTGTGACCAGAGTCCAGGTGACTGGGCTCTTTGATATCAGCTGTCGGGCTCCCGGGGTGAGGCACGGGCCTGTATCCTGGCCTCTGGGGCACCTTTGGCATTGGCCTCTTGGTTCTCGGATGTGAACAGCTGTGATGAAGCGGGACTGTTCTTAATGTTTCCTCTGAATAGTGTGGGGGTGCCTCAGTTTCCCCTCTGCAGTTCTTAAGTATCTAGGTGGTGGGATAGGGGTGTATGATCATTGCAGAGCCCTAGAGGGCAGGTATGTGCAGGGGTCTGGACACAGAGAATGGCCGACACCCTGTTTCCTGGCAACTGATGGCCTGGGTCCTTCCCCCTGCAAGGTGAGAGCTAAAGGGTTGGAGAACAAAGGAACCCGGTGCCCTCCTGGCCCGGGACAGGGACAAAGCCCAGAGGAGGAGGGGCTGGAGAGAGTTTCAGTTTGGGGCTTGCTGGGGACATGGAGTGAAGTGCAGACGGGGTTGTCTGGCTCACTGCCCCCCAAAATGGACCCAGCTGAGGGGTCCTGTTCTCTGCACCTGCAAGCTCTGTTTTAGACCATGTTCCTGTCATCTAATAAACCTTCTGTTTTACTGGCTGGCTGAGACTCCCGTCTGACTGCGGAGTGGGGGGCAGGACCCTCTGGCTTTCCCAGGACCCTGCCTGAGTGGACTGGCTGTGGGAAGCGCATGGAGGGGCAGAGGATGCTGAATGCTCCGAGGTCAGAACCAGGAAGGGGGAAGCCGTGTGAGCTGTGGGTCCTGCAGACAGGCTGCTCCCAGAGAGGAGACTTCCCCAGAGTCCGGTCTGGCTTCGTAGGGAGCTGTTCCAGAGCATCGCCTGGGGACTCCGTGACAACAGCCCAGTGAAATCCCCTGGCGCAGGTGGCTAGGGCTGGGCCTGGGGCAGCAGAGGTGGAGGGTATGTTGTTAAATCCATCCAGGCAGCGGCTCTGGCTGGGTTCTGGGTTCTGCCCCAAGGCCCAGGAGAGCTGGAATCACTTTAAAGTGCCTGAAACAGCGAGCTGAGCGGACCTGGAAAGGCCTCTTGTCCTCCAGTGCCGTACCCTCCTTGGTGGTAGTGTCGAGTCGGCCCGGCCTGACCGTGCAGGGGCAGGGTCTCTGCGGCGGGAATACAGGCTTGGTTGTAGGGCCCATTAGACAGTCCCATGGAGCAATGCGGGACATGCCTGGGGAGAGGGGGCCCATGTGGGATTCTGTGAGCAGCCAACCGCGCCCGGTGCAGTTGGGGATCCCCAGCTGGTCACTAATCTCCAGGAACTACCTGTGCCGAGGTCATCCACAGTGGCACAAAGAGCTGTGGCTGGAGTCTGAGGCAGTGGGGTGGGGGAGGGATTCGCTCCCACAGCCATTTCACACTAGACCTGGGGTTGCAAGATACAGATCCTGGCACAGCCCAGTCCCCCTGGCCTGGCTCCCAACCAAGCCTGGTTCCCAACTGACCCCAGTTCCCACGGTTCTTGCTCCTCTCGGATCCCAGCTCCGTACAGCTCCTGTGGTCTCCAGCCCGGGTGGCGCGCTGCACTGGGTGCACGAGCGTGAGCCACGTGTCTCGGCTGCGGTGGAGGGTGAGCACTGCTCTGCACGGGCCAGGCAACAGCCCAGCAGCCTTCGGGATGGACGGGCCGGGATCCCTCGTAACCGCCCCGGCTCCCACGTGCCGCGGGGTGTGTGGGACACGCCATGTGCACAGAGCTCCGCTGACGCCTTCCGCTGGCGGCCGGGGGCTTGTTGCTCCAAGGGGTTTCTCCGGCACAGGGCCGTACGTTTCCAGAAAGCACCCGGCACTGCCAGGAATGGGGTGAGGGCTGGCTGGGTCAGCAGGGACTGGGAACTCGCTGAGGCTGGATCGGTGACTGGCGCCGGGGCGGGGCCCATGGCCTGGGATGTAGCAATAGTGTGGGGAGCTATGGCCTCTTCTCTGATGTGTCCAGCATGGCTGGCTGCTGCGGAGCCGGGGCAGGGGCTCCCTGGGCCAGGCCTAGCAGGCTGCGGCCTGGTCCCTGGCACTGTGTGTGGGGCCGGGGAGCAGCTCCTCGCTCGCCTCGCCTGCCAGAGGTGGCGTCGGCTCCGGGGAGCAGCAGGGGGGAGGCACCGTCCATGGGCAGGGGGACTCCAGCACCACAATGTCTGTGGGCAGAATCCGATGTCCAGCCTCCAGCTCGGGCCCCAGCTCAGCAACGTGGGCACTCCTCAGGCCCTGGAGCCGGCGCATGGCACGTCCCTCGCTGCAGGGCCTGCCAGCCGCGCCAGGCCTGCTCACGCTGTGAGGTTCCCCAGGGCAGTGCCCTGTTGGCAGCCGTGCCTGGTGGTCGCTGGCCAGCAGTGCAAGGGTTAAGGTGGTGAGTGTGGTTCAGGTCGGGTTACTTCCCCTGGAGCATCCGGAGGAAACTTTCTTTTGCTGCTGGTCTGGGGCCAGCCGAGGGGAGGCGGAGGCAGATTCCGCAGCCCTGTGGCTCCACATCCCTGCTCAGGGGCTGGGACTGGCGGCAGCAGCCCCTGCGGAGTCCGGAGCTCGCACCCTGGGGATGAAGCCACAAAGGTGAGTGGGAGCCTCCTGCTCTGGCTGGGTTTGCTGCATCCCCAGCACCCTACCGACACCCTGCACCCCCCACAATCCATCTCCCCTGCACACCCCTGTGCACACCCCACCGACACCCTGCACACCCCCCACAATCCATCTCCCCTGCACACCCCTGTGCACACCCCACCGACACCCTGCACGCCCCCCACAATCCATCTCCCTGCACACCCCTGTGCACACCCCACCGACACCCTGCACCCCCCAAAATCCATCTCCCTGCACACCCCTGTGCACACCCCACCGACACCCTGCACCCCCCAAAATCCATCTCCCTGCACACCCCTGTGCACACCCCACCGACACCCTGCACGCCCCCCACAATCCATCTCCCTGCACACCCCTGTGCACACCCCACCGACACCCTGCACCCCCCAAAATCCATCTCCCTGCACACCCCTGTGCACACCCCACCGACACCCTGCACCCCCCAAAATCCATCTCCCTGCACACCCCTGTGCACACCCCACCGACACCCTGCACCCCCCAAAATCCATCTCCCTGCACACACCCCACCGACACCCTGCACCCCCCAAAATCCATCTCCCCTGCACACCCCTGTGCACACCCCACCGACACCCTGCACCCCCCAAAATCCATCTCCCTGCACACCCCTGTGCACACCCCACCGACACCCTGCACACCCCCACAATCCATCCCCCTGCACACCCCTGTGCACACCCCACCGACACCCTGCACCCCCCAAAATCCATCTCCCTGCACACCCCTGTGCACACCCCACCGACACCCTGCACCCCCCACAATCCATCTCCCTGCACACCCCTGTGCACACCCCACCGACACCCTGCACACCCCCCACAATCCATCTCCCTGCACACCCCTGTGCACACCCCACCGACACCCTGCACACCCCCCACAATCCATCTCCCTCACACCCCTGCACACCCCCTGACACCCTCACCCCCCAAAATCCATCCCCTGCACACCCCTGTGCCCCCCCACACCCTGCACCCCCCAAAATCCATCTCCCCTGCACACCCCTGTGCACACCCCACCGACACCCTGCACCCCCCACAATCCATCTCCCCTGCACACCCCCACCCTGACCCCCACAATCCATCTCCCCTGCACACCCCTGTGCACACCCCCCCCACCCTGCACCACACCCTGCACACCCCCACAATCCCCCCCCAAAATCATCCCCTGCACACCCCTGTGCACACCCCACCGACACCCTGCACCCCCCCACAATCCATCTCCCCTGCACACCCCTGTGCACACCCCACCGACACCCTGCACCCCCCACAATCCATCTCCCCTGCACACCCCTGTGCACACCCCACCGACACCCTGCACACCCCCACAATCCATCTCCCTGCACACCCCTGTGCACACCCCACCGACACCCTGCACCCCCCACAATCCATCTCCCTGCACACCCTTCACACCCCCCCCTGACACCCCCCACAATCCATCTCCCTGCACACCCCTGTGCACACCCCACCGACACCCTGCACCCCCCAAAATCCATCTCCCTGCACACCCCTGTGCACACCCCACCGACACCCTGCACACCCCCCACAATCCATCTCCCTGCACACCCCTGTGCACACCCCACCGACACCCTGCACACCCCCCACAATCCATCTCCCTGCACACCCCTGTGCACACCCCACCGACACCCTGCACCCCCCAAAATCCATCTCCCTGCACACCCCTGTGCACACCCCACCGACACCCTGCACACCCCCCACAATCCATCTCCCCTGCACACCCCTGTGCACACCCCACCGACACCCTGCACCCCCACAATCCATCTCCCCTGCACACCCCTGTGCACACCCCACCGACACCCTGCACACCCCCACAATCCATCTCCCCTGCACACCCCTGTGCACACCCCACCGACACCCTGCCCCCCACCCCCCCCCCCACAATCCATCTCCCCTGCACACCCCTGTGCACCCCCCCCACACCCTCCCCCCCAAAATCCATCTCCCTGCACACCCTGTGCACACCCCACCGACACCCTGCACCCCCCACAATCCATCTCCCCCCTGCACACCCCTGTGCACACCCCACCCCGACACCCTGCACGCCCCCCCACAATCCATCTCCCCTGCACACCCCTGTGCACACCCCACCGACACCCTGCACACCCCCACAATCCATCTCCCCTGCACACCCCTGTGCACACCCCACCGACACCCTGCACACCCCCCACAATCCATCTCCCCTGCACACCCCTGTGCACACCCCACCGACACCCTGCACCCCCCAAAATCCATCTCCCTGCACACCCCTGTGCACACCCCACCGACACCCTGCACCCCCCACAATCCATCCCACCCCGTCACACCCCACGACCTGCCCCCCACAATCCATCCCCTGCACACCCCTCACACACCCTGCACCCCCACAATCCATCCCCTGCACACCCCTGTACACACCCCACCGACACCCTGCACCCCCACCCCCAAATCCATCTCCCTGCACACCCCTGTGCACACCCCACCGACACCCTGCACCCCCCAAAATCCATCTCCCCTGCACACCCCTGTGCACACCCCACCGACACCCTGCACACCCCCCACAATCCATCTCCCCTGCACACCCCTGTGCACACCCCACCGACACCCTGCACCCCCCAAAATCCATCTCCCTGCACACCCCTGTGCACACCCCACCGACACCCTGCACCCCCCAAAATCCATCTCCCCTGCACACCCCTGTGCACACCCCACCGACACCCTGCACACCCCCCAAAATCCATCTCCCTGCACACCCCTGTGCACACCCCACCGACACCTTGCACCCCCCAAAATCCATCTCCCTGCACACCCCTGTGCACACCCCACCGACACCCTGCACCCCCCAAAATCCATCTCCCTGCACACCCCTGTGCGCACCCCACCGACACCCTGCACGCCCCCCACAATCCATCACCCCTGCACACCCCTGTGCACACCCCACCGACACCCTGCACCCCCCAAAATCCATCTCCCTGCACACCCCTGTGCACCCCCAAAATCCATCTCCCTGCACACCCCACCGACACCCTGCACACCCCCCACAATCCATCTCCCTGCACACCCCTGTGCACACCCCACCGACACCCTGCACACCCCCCACAATCCATCTCCCCTGCACACCCCTGTGCACACCCCACCGACACCCTGCACCCCCCAAAATCCATCTCCCTGCACACCCCTGTGCACACCCCACCGACACCCTGCACGCCCCCAGAATCCATCACCCCTGCACACCCCTGTGCACACCCCACCGACACCCTGCACCCCCCAAAATCCATCTCCCTGCACACCCTTGTGCACACCCCACCGACACCCTGCACCCCCCAAAATCCATCTCCCCTGCACACCCCTGTGCACACCCCACCGACACCCTGCACACCCCCCACAATCCATCTCCCCTGCACACCCCTATGCACACCCCACCGACACCCTGCACTCCCCAAAATCCATCTCCCTGCACACCCCTGTGCACACCCCACCGACACCCTGCACCCCCCAAAATCCATCTCCCTGCACACCCCTGTGCACATCCCACCTACACCCTGCACCCCCCCACAATCCATCTCCCCTGCACACCCCACCGACACCCTGCCCCCCCACCATCCATCACCCCTGCACACCCCTGTGCACACCCCACCTACACCCTGCACGCCCCCCACAATCCATCTCCCCTGCACACCCCACCGACACCCTGCACGCCCCCCACAATCCATCTCCCCTGCACACCCCACCGACACCCTGCACGCCCCCCACAATCCATCTCCCTGCACACCCCACCGACACCCTGCACGCCCCCCACAATCCATCTCCCTGCACACCCCACCTACACCCTGCACTCCCTCCTACACACACACCATGCACCCTGCGCAGCCTGTAAATTCCCTACACTCTCCATACACCCTCTTACACACACATCCTATCCCCTGCACAGCCCGTACACCCTCTACACACACCGTACACCCCCTTACCTGCATCTCCCATACACCCTTACACGCACCATATACCCTGTGCACACACCCTGTACATCCCCATGCACACCCCTACACACCCATAGGCTCCTTACACCCCCCCCCCGGCATATCCCCTACAGACATACATCCTGCATACCCTGTACATACCTCCTTCAGACACACCATACACTTTGCACACCCCATATGCCCCCTTACATCCCTACACACATGCCCCCCACCACACATACATTCTGTTACACACAGCCACACACCATATACCCCACATATTCCATACCTTCCTCTATACCCTACCTACCCACCCCATGCCCTGCGCACCCCATACACACACACACCCCCACACCATAACCCCACACAGTCCTACACACACATGCACCTTGTACACCCCCTACAGCCTGGACACATGCTTACACCCCATCCACCCTACCCACCTCCCCCACATACGCTCTCCCTACACACACACAGCCTACACAACTCAGTCTCTTCCCCTTCTAACCCCTGCACACACTTGTTTTCACCTAGCATGACCAAGTACCTTCTCCCTTTGAAAGGCTGGAGTAAATTAGGGTCAAGTGTTTGGGGCTGATGGGGGGTGGGTGTCACGGAGTCCCCAGGCGATGCTCTGGAACTGCTCCCCATGAAGCCAGTCAGGACTCTGGGGAAGTCTCCTCTCTGGGAGCAGCCTGTCTGCAGGACACACAGCTCACACGGCTTCCACCTTCCTGGGTCTGACCTCGGAGCATTCAGCATCCTCTGCCCCTCTGTGCGCTTCTCACAGCGAGTCCGCCCAGGCAGGGTCCTGGGGAAGCTAAAGGGTCCTGCCCCCCAACTCCGCAGGCAGATGTGACTCTCAGCCAGCCAGGAAAACAGAAGGTTTTTTAGACGACAGGAACATGGTCTAACACAGAGCTTGTAGGTGCAGAGAACAGGACCCCTCAGCCGGGTCCATTTTGGGGGGCGGTGAGCCAGACAACCCTGTCTGCCCTTCACTCCATGTCCCCAGCCAGCCCCAAACTGAAACTCCCTCCAGCCCCTCCTCCTCTGGGCTTTGTCCCTTTCCCGGCCCAGGAGGGCACCTGATTTCTTTGTTCTCCAACCCTTTAGCTCTCACCTTGCAGGGGGGAAGGGCCCAGGCCATCAGTTGCCAGGAAACAGGGTGTCGGCCATTCTCTGTGTCCAGACCCCTGCACACACCTGCCCTCTAGGGCTCTGTGACAATCATACATCCTTACCCCACCCCCTAGATACTTAAGAACTGCATGGGGGAAACTGAGGCACCCCCACGCTATTCAGAGGAAGCCTTAAGAACAGTCCCGCTTTGTCACAGGGGGGCAACCCCCAAACAACAAGTGATCTGTGGGTGTGGAGGTGTCCTTGCCCCGACACAGACCACAGGGTTGGGCTTTTCCCTGCACTTTGGCAACACTTGTGGAATTCATCCTGCTGGTAAAGTTTCTTTGAATGGAACTGAACTGACTGGGTGTGCATGGGGGAAGTGGGGAGTGTGTGCATATGGCTGTGGGGTGTGTGACCTGGGTTGCTGTGCATGGGGCACATGGCAGTGAGTCTATGGCATGCATGGATTGTAGGGCAGCATGTGCACAGTGGTGAGGTGTGTGTGTGAGGCGGGGTGGATGGGGTGTGATGGGGGAAGGGAGAGTGTGTGTGACATTGGGGGTATGGCGCAGTGGAGACATGTGCGGGGTGGGCAGCGAGGGTGTGTGTGACAGAGGGGTGGGGATTATTCTGTGTGAACAAGTTGTGGGAGGTATTTATGTGTGTTAGCTGGCTGGGAGGGCTGGGGGTGGTGTGAGCTGAGGGGGGTGGGGGGCTGGCCTGGCTGTGCGAGCTGGGAGAGTGTGGGGGGCTGGCCTGGGTGTGCGAGCTGGGGGGTGAGCCTGTGGGTCCCCACCCTTCCCAGCCCCAGAAATCGACTCCAGAGATAGCTCCGGCCAGGGTCATTTGCAGCCTAACCTTGCTTCTGTCCCCCCAGCTAATCTCTGGCGTGAGCTCCACGCCTGCGGAAACATCTGGGGCTGGTTCCCGGGCTGAGGGTTCTGGGGCAGCGGCAGGGGGGCAGAGAGCTGCTTCCCAGCTGGGGATGGGATCATGATATTTTGCTTTTGGAAACTGTCAGTATCTTTTGCCAAAGCAAATCTTCTCCTGTCTGAACACATCCTTCCAGCCTGCGCCCAGCTCCTGGCGTGGGAACTGCTGCAGGCCCTTGAGTCCAGCCCGACTGCTGGGAACGGCCCCACTCCCCAGCTGTGCCAGGCAGGAGAGAGCCTGGCAGAGGGGAAGGCCATGGGTGTGGCTCCACCACGCAGCAAATAACCAGGGGAAGCTGGGAAGGTTCCCCCCCCAGCGTTCACTGGCTCATTGGCAGAGCTGCCGTGTGCCCGAGCCAAGCTGCAGGCCGGGGGCGGCCCAGGAGGGCTGAGGCTGCATGGGTTTGCCATGTGCTGCAAGGTGCAGGGTTTGCTCCACACGACATCCTCTCCCAAGTCCTGCTGGCTCTGCACTGAGGTCTGGCGCCACTTGCTCCCCCCTGCTGCCCTCTGCCCCACGCCAGCTGGGGCACGTGGCAGCCCCAGGACCTCAGTGCACTCCCTGGGGTGGCTCCCAGCAGGGCCCAGAATGGGGGTGTGCCTCAGGCTGCCTGGCTCGAGAGGCCATGGCCCCATGCCCTGCACTGTCGTGCTGCTGTCCTAGAGCTTGGAGAGGGTCGCTGAGCGCCCCAGCTTCCCAGTCCAGAGCTGCCTCGCAGACACGCCTCACGTGACTTCCCAGCTCCTGCACCCGGGGGTCCGGCGCTGCAGGCTCACAACTCTGCAAGGACTCAGGATGTGGGGCGCCAGGAACCCAGCAGTTCCTGCTGAGGAGATGGCTGTCCCGGCGTCCCCGGGCGATGCTCTGGAACTGCTCCCTGCGAAGCCAGGCAGGACTCTGGGGAAGTCTCTCTGGGAGCAGCCTGTCTGCAGGACACACAGCTCACCCGGCTTCCACCTTCCTGGGTCTGACCTCGGAGCATTCAGCATCCTCTGCCCCTCCGAGCGCTTCCCACAGCGAGTCTGCCCAGGCGGGGTCCTGGGGAAGCCAGAGGGTCCTGCCCCCCAACTCCGCAGTCAGCCGTGACTCTCAGCCAGCCAGTAACACAGAGGTTTGTTAGACGACAGGAACATGGTCTAAAACAGAGCTTGTAGGTGTAGAGAACAGGACCCCTCAGCCGGGTCCATTTTGGGGGGTGGTGAGCCAGACAACCCCGTCTGCACTTCACTCCATGTCCCCAGCCAGCCCCAAACTGAAAACTCTCCAGCCTCTCCTCTTGCCTTTGTCTCTTTCCCTCCCGGGCCAGGAGGCCACCTGATCTCTTTGTTCCCCAACACTTTCAGTCAGCACCTTTGCAGGGGAAGGGCCAGGCCATCAGTTGCCAGGAAACAGGGTGTTGGCCATTCTCTGTGTCCAGACCCCTGCACACACCTGCCCTCTAGGGCTCTGCAATGATCCTACACCCTTACCCCACCCCCTAGATACTTAAGAACTGCATAGGGGAAATGGAGGCACCCCCACACTATTCAGAGGAACCATTAAGAACAGTCCTGCTTCGTCACAGGGCCTGCACAGCAGCAGCCACTCAAGGTCCTTCACCTACAGACCTGCCTAGGGTTGCTCTGGGCACCGCGCAGGGCCCCTGAGCCTGTGAGCATGTCCCTTGGCGTGGCTTCTCTCTGCCTAGGCCCCTGACTGGCACTGGCATGCGGGAAGTGAGAACGCACTTCCAGGAGCCCTTGTTCAGGTCCTCTGCAAGTTATTCGCTCCCCCATAAGCTGATAAACTTTATTACACGATGGAGCAGATCATGGACTTTGGAAGCCTCACAGGTGGCTGGCAGAGCCCGCAACCACCCCAGCCTGTCTTGAGCGCTCCCACACCTGTCCAGCTCCACAGCAGCCTGCAGATGCTGTACCCCCAGGACCCCCACGTCAGGGCTCCCAGATCAGGCAAGGGCTCCTGGTGTCGTGGTGGGTGACACTGGCCCGAGCCTGCCCCTCAGTGTGGGCAGGTGCGTGCACACAAATGCACACCAGCCAGGGAGGTGCACGCACTGACAGCCTGACAATGCATCGTGCTTTTCCTGGGCCTGCCCCGGAAGCACGAGGTACTTTGCAGGCAGCCAGGTGGTGGCCGCAGCACTGTGGAAACGCAGGGCTGGAAGGCCCCCGAGAAGTCACCAAGTACATCTCCCTGGGCCGAGGCTGGACCAAGTGCACCTAGACCAGCCCTGACGGGGGTTTGTCCAACCTGCTCTTCAAACCCTCCCCTGACGGGGATTCCACCACCGCCCTTGGCAGCCTGTTCTGGAGCTGAGCTACCTCTACAATTCGGAAGTTTTTCCTAATGTCCAACCTAAATCTCCCTGGCTGCAGATTAAGCCCATCGCTTCTGACCCTACCTTAGGGAACATGGAGAGCAAACGATCCCCGGCCTCTTTAGAGCAGCCCTTCACAGCTGTACAGGCTGTTGCTAGCTCCCCTCTCAGCTTCTTTTCTCAGGACGAAACAGGCCCAGGGTTTTAACCACTCCTCACAGGGCAGATTTTCCAAACCATGTGTCGTGTTCATTGCTCTCCTCTGGACTTGCTCCACTTTCTCCACATCTTCCCTAAAGCCTGGGACACAGCAGTCCAACTGACGCCTCACTAGTGCCGAGTAGAGTGGGCCAGTTACCTCCTGTGTCTTTTATATGACACTATGGAGGTGACTGTAAGCATGTCACATAGGGGAAACTGAGGCACAGAGAGGTTAACGGGACCCAGGGTCCCAGAACAAGCCAGACATGGGTCTAGAACCCCGGAGTTCCGATGCCCAGTCCTTCCTGCTTTATCCACTAGCACCCACTCCCCTCCCCTCCCAGCATTGAGGATAGAACCCAGGAGTCCTGACTCCAGTCCCCTGCTCTAACCATTAGCACACATTTTCACATGTGGTGGGAGACCTGTGCTGGTCCTGTTGGAAGGAGACTGATCCTGCAGGTGCTGCGCACAGATGCCCTGTTTCCCATTAACTTCCTCTTGGAGCGGGTAGGGCAGGTGGGGGGTGGGGGTGGGGTGCTTGTCCCAGATGCTGCGAAGCTGCAGTGACCTTTGTGAGCCTCCCAGCCAATTAATACTTCATCCATTAACCCGAGGAGCGGAGAGCCCCCAGGGAGCGGGGGATAAAAGGCTGCTGTGAACCTGGCCCTGTGACTGCCCTGCCTCTCCCTCCCCAGCAGTGCACCATGGCAGCCGGCTTCTTCATCAGCAAGACCCTGGGCATCGTGAGCATCATCCTGGGCGTGGGCGCCGTGGCCACCATCATCGCCCTCTCCGTCGTGTACTCCCAGGAGAAGGAGAGAAATGCAGCGTCCCTGCCCAGCGTCACTTCCCCGCCGGCCAATGTGACCACCACCCCCCTGTCCACCACGGCCCGCCCTGCCAACCCCTGGAACAACTTCAGACTCCCCCAGTCCTTGGTCCCAGAGCACTACACCGTGACCCTGCAGCCCTTCCTGACCCCGAGCGCCTCCAGCCTCTACATCTTCAAAGGGAACAGCACCGTGCGCTTCTCCTGCCAGAATGCCACCAACCTCATCCTGATCCACAGCAAGAAGCTCAACTACACGTTGCAGGGCACCTTCCTTGTCTCGCTGCAGGGGGTGAATGGCTCCAGCCCCCCGCCCATCACAAATACCTGGCTGGAGACCGAGACCCAGTATCTGGTGGTGCAGCTCCAGGGGCAGCTGGAGAAAGGCAAGAGCTATGAGCTCGTCAGCAGCTTCACAGGGGAGCTGGCCGATGACCTGGCTGGCTTCTACCGCAGCGAGTATGTGGAGGATGGAGAGACCAGGTATGGCCCCAGGGTGCCCCCACAGTAGGAAGTGGGCAGCCGGCTAGTGGGGGGCAAGGGAAGAGGCAAGACTGCAGCAGAATTTGGGGTGACCTGCAGCACCGGGGGTGTGCCAGCTGTCCAGGGTTCCCTAGGCACGGGGCTGGCTGCAGGCTCCGGGTCACTCGCTTCCCATTGTGATGATTCTGCAGGCTGCAGCTGAGGGGGTAGAATCAATGTAAATGCCTGAGGGGCAGGGTGTCCCCATGCCCCCCCAGTCCAGCTTCCCCCCATACGCTGCCACAGACCTGTGCCATGTCCAGGAGGAGAGCTGCAAGGTATTTCGGGGCTGGGCACCCCCATCCTACAGACCGAGTATGCCAGCCTGACAGCAGCTGCTGGTGCCAGCTAAAGCCTGGTGAAATTTGGAAACAAAAATCCTACAAGCTGCAGCTGGCAGCCTGGGGCCCCAGGACTCCTCCCCCCACCATCCCTAATGTCACTGGGGGGAGCTCTTTGGGGTAGGGTCGCCTCTCCTGCTGTCTGTGCCCTTCCTCTCATCCCCCCTGGGCTGGGTCCTTCCTCCCCCCATTGCTCCCCCCTGGGCCCAGCCTGCCTGGCCAGGTCCTTCCTCCCCCCATTCCCTCTCCCCAGGCCCAGCCTGCCTGGCCGGGCACCTCCCGCACATTGCTCCCCCAGCCCGGGTGCAGCCTGCCTAGCCGGGCTGTCTCTCCCTAGGTGGCTAATGCCCAGCCAACTTGACCGGGACTAACAGTGCTGGCCAGGCCCAGTGCAGGGCAGGCAGGGTCTGCAGCTGCCCCCCTGGCTCTGCCATTGCCCTTCAGGCCTGGCTCCCCTCCCCAGCCCGCAGCGCTGTGTGGTTCCAGGCTGCGGCTCTGTCACGGAGTTCCTGGGCGATGCTCTGGAACTGCTCCCCATGAAGTCAGTCAGGACTCTGGGGTAGTCGCCTTTCTGTGAGCAGCCTGTCTTCAGGACACACAGCTCACACAGCTTCCACCTTCCTGGGTCTGACCTCGGAGCATTCAGCATCCTCTGCCTCTCCGTGCGCTTCCCACAGCGAGTCCGCTCAGGCGGTGCTCCTGGGGAAGCCAGAGGGTCCTGCACCCCAACTTCGCAGTCAGACGTGACTCTCAGCCAGCCAGTAAAACAGAAGGTTTATTAGACGACAGGAACATGGTCTAAAACAGAGCTTGCAGGTGCAGAGAACGGGACCCCTCAGCTGGGTCCATTCTGGGGGGCAGTGAGCCAGACAACCACGTCTGCACTTCACTCCATGTCCCAGCCAGCCCCAAACTGAAAAACCCTCCAGCCCCTCCTCCTCTGGGCTTTGTTCCTTTCCCGGGCCAGTAGGTCACCTGATTCCTTTGTTCTCCAACCCTTCAGCTCTCACCTTGCAGGGGGGGAAGGGCCCAGGCCATCAGTTGCCAGGAAACAGGGTGTCGGCCATTCTCTGTGTCCAGACTCCTGCACACACATGCCCTCTAGGGCACTGCAATGATCATACACCCTTACCCCACCACCTAGATACTTAAGAACTGCCTAGGGGAAACTGAGGCACCCCCACACTATTCAGAGGAAACATTAAGAACAGTCCCACTTCGTCACAGGCTCTCCTGTGCAGACAGACCCCGCCGGGGGCTCTGAGCCGGCCCAGGTGTGAGCAGCTCCCTTGGGGCGCCAGCGGCAGGAGGTCAGGGGAGTCCGGGGCCTGCCTGCAGGACCCCCAAGCCATGGCTGCAGAGGGTGGCAGGGCTGGCTGGGCTGAGCGGGCTGCCTTTGATTGCAGGGTCGTGGCCACCACACAGATGCAGGCGCCCGACGCGCGGAAAGCCTTCCCTTGCTTCGACGAGCCCGCCATGAAGGCCAGCTTCAAGGTCACGCTGATCCACAGCCCCAACCACACGGCGCTGTCCAACATGCCTGTGGAGAGTGAGTGAGCCGGGGCTCGGCAGCTTAGGAACCGTGTGCCCTGCGCCAGCAGCCTCCGCCCTGCCTCCTGCCCCTCCCCAGGGCTGCGCCCCCTGGGCTTCCTCAGCCCCCCAAGGCTCCAGCAGGGCCCTGGGCTGAGTCTGCACCCCGGGACCCATGGGGATGTTCCCTGGCTAGGCCGGGTCACTGGGCGAGATGGAGCCGCCGTGAGATCAGCCAAGCACTGAGCACACCCAGGGCCCCCGAGCAGCTGGAGCCCCCGGGGGGCAGGGGGGAGCAGCCAGCAGAGAAGAGGAAGGGGCTGCTGGGGATGAACTCTCACGCAGGCTCAGCACCGGGCTGCCCACTGGCTCCCCTGAGCCTGATGCCCATATGCAGGCCGCAGTGAGAGCCCCTCCTTGCTCATCACAGGCTTGGGGCCGTTCTGCTCCGAGCTCGGCAGTGTGGTGGGGCAGAGGGACCGGAGCACTCGTCCCCAGCAGTGGAGGGGTGAAGTGGGGTGTGGGGGGAGAAGCATGAGGGAAGCAAAGCAGGAAACCAAACTGGAGTCAGGGGGAGAGATCCCCTGGGGGTAGGGCAAGGAGAGGGCCATGCAAGGGGCCCACTCTCCAGCCATATCAGGGGACTGCAGCCCTGCTTTGGGGGCTGGAAGGGGCCTGGCCGCCGCGGAGTGAGCTACACGCCCGCTATGGGGGAGGAAGGGGCTCCCAGGAGAGACTGTGCCCTGCTCTGGGGTGGGGATGGAGGCGCGTGAGCCTCGATGATGGAGCCGTGGCTCTTCTTTCAGGCTCCTGGCAGAAGACCATCGATGGCACCACCTGGAACGTCACTGAATTCCAGACCACCCCCAAGATGTCCACATACCTGCTGGCCTTCATCGTCAGCCAGTTCCAGGCCGTGGAGGACATGCAGGACAATGTGCTGGTAGGTTGCTGCATGGGGCGGGGGCGGCCTGGCTCGGCTGTGGGGTAGGGGAGCCTTGGCTGAGCCTCGAGTCTCCCCCTGCAGATCCGGATCTGGGGCCGTCCGAAGGCCATCACAGCGGGGCAAGGGGACTATGCACTCCGTGTGACCGGGCCCATCCTCAAGTTCTTCGAAAGGCATTACAACACGGCGTACCCACTGCCCAAGTCTGGTGAGTGCCCGGGCAACAAGCCGGCTGCTGTGCGCTTGGTGGTGTGTGTGCCAGGATCTGCTGGGCTCTCCCGTGGGGATGGGGGGTTCTGGGCTCTCCCGTGGGGATGGGAAGGTGTCAAGCTGCCTGCAGGGACCCCAAGCGTGGGTACCAACCTCAGGGCAGGCTGGTAGGAACCAGGGCACAAACCCCAGGCTGGCGGGGAGTTCTGTACTTAGATTGCACCAGCCAGTTATCTAGTGTGAACCCCTCAGGCGCTGTGACAGCCTGAACATGGAGCCACGGATAGTCCCCTTGGGTGCACCGATCCACCTCACCACCCAGGGGAGCTGCACTTTAGATGGCCCTTAAGCCAAGAATTACAGTAATATTACAGTAATATTCAGGACCAGTCACTTACCCCAGGGCAGCTGCACTTTAGATCTCACACCAAAGACTGCGCTTGTAGCCAATTCAATAATAAACTCCCTATCGACATATTAATAGGAAAAAGAAACTGGAGAGTTCTTTTCAAGGTTAAAGCAGGTAAACATAGATACACCAATGAGTTACAATCTTAATTTTCAAAAGGTAATAGAAGCTTCTATAATGAGCAAGCTCCAGCTGGGCTTTAGGCCTAAGCAGCTGGGGATCCCCTGCTTATCCCTTATAAACCTTGCCCCCCGGAGTCCAAGCTGCACAGAGATCCAGTTCCTTCTTGTTGGTGGTTTTTAGTTCCCTTCTGTCTTGTTGTCTGAGCTGTGAACTCAGCGGATGGGAGAATCCACTTGCACGACTCGTTTTCATGGGGGGATAAGAGGGACAGCAACCAACAGTCTTTTGTCCTTTTTAATGTTCCACTCTAGTCCGTCTGGTGTCAACGGCCCGTCCCTGCTGGGGATGACGTGACACCTGCTGTGGGGGGTCAGCCCTTTGCTCTGGTTCATGTCTCTCTCCTGTCTGGTCATTCGCACAGTCACAGGTGCTCAGGTTGCAAACGCTCGGCTACCCCTGTACAGTATGGGACCGTACTGCAGTAGCTCACAAGCCTACACACAACGCACATTCTGATCATTCTAGTGCCTGTTTTACAGAACACCCCGCTCAGCCCGACTGGTCCCAGCTTGGCACCTGGCAGCGTGAAGCTGAGACATGGGCACCGTGGCATGAGCTGGCACCTGGGCTGCCAGCATCACTCTCCCAATGCCCAAAGGGGCAGAAGGGGGGGTCTCCGGCACTCCCTAATAAGCCTCAGGGTCTCCCTTTTCTTTACAAGGCATCAGGATGCAGAGCTAGGCTCCGGCGTAATAGTCTGGAATTGGTCTTTTTGGCTCGCTGCACCCATATTAGCAGGGAGTGGCCCGTTAAAACCTTAAATCTTCTCTTATACAGATAAGGCTTAAGTTGTTGAATAGCCCAAACAATGGCCTAGCATTTCCTCTCACTGCCAGCACAATCCTGTTCAATGGGGTCAGTTATTTAGCCAGGAAGATAATGGGGGCCCCTTGTCCCCCGCCCCAGCCTGCATTAGCATGTGCCTAGCTCAATGTTACACGCCTTAGGGCGCAGCTGAAATCAGGGCTGGCTAAAACTGGCTCTTTGGACAACGCCTCTTTTATGTCCTTTAAGCCTTTCTCCCAGGCCTGGTCCATACCAGCCAGGCTGGCTTCCCCTTTTTGGTAAGGTCTGTTATGGGGGCCACGATACCCCTTTGCAAACCTCCGGTGATAGCTGGCCAGAGCAAAAAAAGATTGGACCTGCTGCTTGGTTCGCAGGGCTGGCCAATTCTGAATGGGTTCTACTTAGAAAGAATCAGGATGAACAAACCCACTGCCCAATAAGTTACCTAAGAGGGCCCCATCTTGCATTGGGACACTTGACAGTGAGGCTGGCTTCTCCAAGCCTCTGCAGTACAATTCCCACCTGGCTCAGGTGGTCTTGCCAAGAGTCACTCAAAATAGCCAAATGTGACGAAGTGGGACTGTTCTTAATGTTTCCTCTGAATATTGTGGGGGTGCCTCAGTTTCCCCTGTGCAGTTCTTAAGTATCTAGGGGGTGGGGTAAGGGTGTATGATCACTGCAGAGCCCTGGAGGGCAGGTGTGTGCAGGGCACAGCTCACACAGCTTCCACCTTCCTGGGTCTGACCTCGGAGCATTCAGCATCCTCTGCCCCTCCGTGCGCTTCCCCCAGCGAGTCCGCTCAGGCGGGGTCCTGGGGAAGCCAGAGGGTCCTGCCCCCCAACTTCGCAGTCAGATGTGACTCTCAGCCAGCCAGGAAAACAGAAGGTTTTTTAGACGACAGGAACATGGTCTAAAAGAGAGCTTGTAGGTGCAGAGAACAGGGCCCCTCAGCTGGGTCCATTTTGGGGGGCAGTGAGCCAGACAACCCCGTCTGCACTTCACTCCTCGTCCCCGGCCAGCCCCAACTGAAACTCCCCCCAGCCCCTCCACCTCTGGGCTTTGTCCCTGTCCCGGGCCAGGAGGTCACTGGATTCCTTTGTTCTCCAACCCTTTAGCTCTCACCTTGCAGGGGGGAAGGGCCAGGCCATCAGTTGCCAGGAAACAGGATGTCGCCATTCTCTGTGTCCAGACCCCTGCACACACCTGCCCTCTAGGGCTCTGCAATGATCATACACCCTTATCCCACCTCCTAGGTACTTAAGAACTGCACAGGGGAAACTGAGGCACACCCACAATATTCAGAGGAAACATTAAGAACAGTCCCACTTCGTCACACCAAGGCATCTCCACAGGCTTTGGTAAAGGTCTGTAAGCCCTGCAGCACCTCATTGACAGGCCTCTGAAAGGGAGCCCAAAAGGCAGAACCTTACAGAGGCCAGATTCCCCTGGGAACACTGACTTTCTCTGGGCATCAGCATCTGCAGGAATTTGCCAGTATCCTTGAGTCAAATCTAGAGCACTTATGAATTTTGCACCCACCCCTATGGATCCAGTCAGCCCCTAGCTAGGGTGTCACGGAGTCCCTGGGAGATGCTCTGGAACTGCTCCCTATGAAGCCAGTCAGGACTCTGGGGAAGTCTCCTCTCTGGGAGCAGCCTGTCTTCAGGACACACAGCTCACACAGCTTCCACCTTCCTGGGTCTGACCTCGGAGCATTCAGCATCCTCTGCCCCTCCGTGCGCTTCCCCCAGCGAGTCCGCCCAGGCAGGGTCCTGGGAAAGCCAGAGGGTCCTGCCCCTCAACTCCGCAGTCAGATGGGAGTCTCAGCCAGCCAGTAAAACAGAAGGTTTATTAGACCACAGGAACATGGTCTAACACAGAGTTTGTAGGTGCAGAGAACAGGACCCCTCAGCCTGGTCCATTTTGGGGGGCAGGGAGCCAGACAACCCCGTCTGCACTTCACTCCATGTCCCCAGCCAGCCCCAAACTGAAAACTCCCTCCAGCCCCTCCTCCTCTGGGCTTTGTCCCTTTCCCGGCCCAGGAGGGCACCGGATTCCTTTGTTCTCCAACCCTTTAGCTCTCACCTTGGAGGGGCGAAGGGCCCAGGCCATCAGTGGCCAGGAGACAGAGTGTCACCATTTATGTACCCTGGCCCTTTGC